TTGCAAGCCAGGACCTCACTCATGCTAGGCAATCATGGTACCCTCGAGGTACATCCCCTGCCCAGAGCAGCCAAGAAAAAATAAGGAACATGGATGTCACAGCACAACCTCACTTGGAGTCTTACTGTAACCTCTGTTACTTACTAGATATTGCCTAGCCTTTGTATATGTCCCTTTCTTCACCCATAAACTGGGAATGAAGTAGTAGTTACCTAATAGGATAACACAGTGATGCTTAAGAGAGATTTTATGAAGAGGATGTAGAAATTCCAGTAAAAATGACAGTTCAATACTTGCCCTGAACTGCAGCCATGACAATGTTTCAAAATGATAACATTTGCATGAAGTAAAATAACACAAGTATACCTACTGGGCAGATGGGTTTGATTAAGGATCATAGACTGCAATCAGTACAAGAGGATCTTCTTACATTTATTCATCCTCAGTGTTGGAATGCAACTTAAAATTCATGAAGTTCCACAGTGGTAATTGGCAGCACTGGTGAGATATTCTTCATACTCAGTATCATCTCACAATCTGTGGTGCCTTACATTAGGTCAAATCAATACAAACAAAAGATCATTGAGAGTGCTTCTCATAGGCTTGGCATTTGATTAGATGTTACTAGTTAAAATTGCAGTGTACAGCCCGCACCTCCCTTCACAAGAGCAGTCTGGATGTCTTGGGCAGGATGAGATTGGGGATAGGGCCAGTACAGGCTCCAAAGTCAGACCAGGCTTGGCAATAATTGTTTTTGGAACTGATGGGTGAGCCCGGGCCTCCATAAGCATGGAGGAGATAAAGTCCAGTCCCATGCCAGCAGAGGATGGGCCCATGGTTCATTGGCATTCCAACAAAATAGGAGTCACCCACCCTCCCTCACAAGAGGTCCACCACATCATGGGCAGCCTAGCCCTCTGCTTAGCTCTGCTCAGTGCACCCTGGACATCCCGGGGGCTTTGGCTCTGCTGGGAGCACTATCTCGCCACCTGCTTTGATGCAGTTCAGATCCAAAATGATGCCAATGTTTCTAAGAGTGTACCTTAGTAACAATGACCAGCACTGCACAGAAGTTCCAGTTATTCCAGAGACAATATGCAGAGATGTGTTAAATCTGTGCACAGAGGCTGGCAAGAGTGACTGATGTTTGGCTGAAGTGTGGTGTGCCTCTGAATGTCTAGTTGCTCATAATAAGAGAATGTTTGACATTCTTTAATGATTTGGAAGTCAGAGAAGTGAAGTTTGTTTCTTCTTTCCTCATGAATGCCCTCTGGCAGGGACATTGTGAATGGACTAAGGTTTCAGGATCAAAGTCCCAAGAGAATGATGTAAAAATGCCTGCTGAATGTGAAAGAAAGGAGAATGGCATTAATAATCCTAAAATAAATCTGGGGCTTTCTGAAATTAAAAAAAAAATAGCATCTCACCAGCAGCAATGGATTGAAGCCCAGCATAAAATGCTGGCTACAAAGCAATAGCACTTGAAGTTTTTTAAAAAAACAAGATTAGTGTCAACAAAAACAAGCAGTGGAGCAGGAGAAGCTTAATAGTCTAAAAGAAGTATCTGAGAATCAGGAAGCCAAGCTAAAAAAATGTGAGTGTACTTAAAGTTCATGTGGAACAGAAGAGGCTAAGCAAAGGGATACTTGTAGAGGAAATTGAAAAGATGAACAGTATGTTCCAGCAAAAACAAAGGGAGCTCATTCTAGCAGTGTCAAAGGTAGAAGAACTTACAAGGAAGCTAGAGATACTCAAGAATGGCAGGATTGATGGCCACGATGACAACCAGTCAGCTGTGGCTGAGCTGGATCACCTCTACAAGGAAGTGCAGTTAAGAATTTGAATCAAGAGCAGAATGCCAAGCTGCAACAACAGAGGGAGTGTTTGAATAAATGCAATTCAAAAAGGGCAGTCATAGGAAAGCAAATTATGAGCTGAGGAACTCACTGTGGAGAAAGAAGGCAGCACTGCAGAAAAGTGAAGATCTTCCAGTTTCATCTAAAGGAAATCTTCCTCAGCAAGCGGTGTCAGCCCTAAGCCATGTGGCTGCAGTAGATCCATCTATCCAGTCCTCTACCATTCTAAGGATGCCATGGAGGCCTGAACTTCTGATGAAGCCAGCTCTGCCTGATGGTTCCTTGGCCATGCAGACTTCAGAGCAGCCAATAAAGATATAAACATGGTCCAATATGATATCTAGGTCCATGGCACAAACTAAAGGCTCTAACATCCATTCAACTGGTCCTGATTGGAGCTCTTCAAATGCAGATCTTTTCCTGAGTCCAGGCTCTTCTGTACCCCAAATTACTGGGAATGCTCTGGACCAACCTGATGATGGGGTAGTTCTACTGAGGGAGAAAGAGAAGAACATGCCTCCATTCTTGATGTTCGACCCAGTAGACAAGTGTGCTGCCCAGCCCTCCTTTGGTACACTCAGGAAAACCCAGAGCAGTAAAGATGTCTTGTGGAATGCTCAGGCTGCAAATACAAATTGGTTAAAGTACCACCTCCCGTCCCCAGAAAACCAAAACAAGTTAATTTGTCTTATTTTGGACAAGTCTATCAATCACCTTCTGACATTAAGCCCAAATGAAAATCCTCAGCTGTTGCTAACAGTCGTTACAACCATTGGAAATAATCCCAAACCAGCAGGGCAGCAGCCAAGGGTGCTGCTACCTCCCAGCATACCTTCAGTTGGCCAAGATGAAACCCTTTCTCCAGGGTCTAAGCAAGAAAGTTTACCTGCTGCTGCAGTCTGGTCCTTTACCTCACTGTCATTCAAAGATGCTTGCTGTTGGTCCAGGCTTCAGAAAAACTCAGACATGGCATCCAGCTCTATATATTCCATGTATACACAGCATCAGGTTTCAGAAAAAAAAAATTACAGCAGATTGTGCAGAGTGCACTAAGACACATACCAGACTCACATTTTGCAAGTGTATATGACAAGCCTGTGATTGCTACGTCCTAAATTCACAGCAGCTTCCAGAGAACTCCAACAGCCAGGGCAAGCATGGCAGTTCAGAACCTGAAACAGAACCTGTTTCTTCAGTTCATGAGAACCATGAAAATAAAAGAATTCATTGACCACTCAGCCTAATCAAATTATTGCCTTTCTCATCTATCCATTACCAAAACCATAGTGATGCTGACTTAGAAACCTTATGAAAGAAAGTGTCTAATGCACCAGACCACTAAAGAAATGTAGCTCTATTACAGAGCCAGAGGGTCCTAATGGACCAAATATTTAGAAAATTTGTATCAGAGCCCACAATAGCTGCAATGGAGACCATCTCTGTCCAATCATACCCATCTAAGTCATCAAACTCGATGACTCAGGAGGCTCCACATGAATTCTGAATCCATATTTATATATGGAGCCAGAGAAGGAGGTGGTCTCTTTAGTTTCTGAGTCACTGTCCCCAGAGAATGTGGGGAATGCCAGTTCAAAGAACACTGACATGGCCAGCATCTTCTCCTAGCCTTGATTATGTGCCTAAAGGAGTCCCAGGCAACAGCCCAAATCTCCAGAACAATGCAGAGGAACCAATTCCAGAGGCTCCCCATCTGCTTGCAGTCTATCTGGAGGACAGCTCCCCATATCCACCTCTACACTACCCATGTGGGGAGTCTGAAGTGCTGGAGAAGATGCTGTGAACATGTGCCTACCTGAGACCACTGGGCAGGACTCCCTGGCTCCTGGAAGAAGTACAAAATTTCTTAAACCTGGCTCAGAGGGTGAAAACTGGAATGAGGGTGAAATTCAGTGTTCTTGCTTTACTCCTAGATTTATCTTTGGCAGGAGAGTTTGACCTCATGCAGAGAGTTATTTATAAGGTCGATAACCCAAGCCTGCCCAATGATGAAGGCATCACAACTCTCCACAATTCTGTGTGTGCAGGTCACACAGAAATCATTAAGTTCCTGGTGCAGTTTGGTGTGAATATAAATGCTGCTGACAGTGATGCATGGACCCCATTGCATGTTACTACCTCACGTAACAACATCCAGGTGTGTAAGTTTTTAGTATTCAGGAGTAGCTGTGTTTACCATGACCTACAGTGACATGCAGACTGATGCACATAAGCCTGAGGAGATAGAGGAAGACTACACATAGTGCTCTCAATTTCTGCATGGATTTCAGAAAAAATGGCATAATAATATAAGAGTCACTTATGAACTTTGGTATTATGAGCTTTAGAATGATAATTTACTTCCCATGAAAATAGGAGTCTGTGTGACAGTCGTTCACAGGAAAAACCAAGATAAAATTCAGTGGTGGAGAACCACAGATCCTCCTAATCACCATCAGAATGCTCTCAGCTTATTAAAGGAATTTCATATCACCTAAGAACAAGCTTGCAAAATTGTTTGTCAATGTTCTCATTGTGTAATACACACTCCAGTTTTAAATTACTTCCTTCTTGATTCATAGCAAAAGTGTTAAGGTATCAAAAAGCCTTAATGAGAAACAATGTTTTTATGAGTTTTCACAGAGGATTAATTAACCATTCCTTGCTAATTACAAATGTACTGTAGAAATTATGTGGAAAATATTACTAAGGCACATGCAACATATTTGTCTTTAGCTTCATCTGCCACTATATTCATCACTATTATAATAAGAAAATTTTAAAAAAAATTATGCAATTCATTAAAAGATTCTTTATTTCAGTACAACTAGACAACAGCTCCCATTGGCACACATCAGTTACACAGAAACAAGAGCATGAAGAAAGAGGTGGGTGTTTGTAAACAGCAAATGGTCTTTGCCACATATTCAGAACATTTTAGGGCTATTAGGAAACAACCCAGATACCATAGACTTCATCAGTCTTAGAAATAAAACAGAAGAAAATCGTATGAGGGGGAATTTGTGTAATATCTGAGAATTATTAGGCTTTAAGAATTGTGCTTTGGTGATTTAAGGCACTGGCTAGAATATCTAGTACCCACTTTATCTGCTTATCCAACTCAATTCAAATTTGAGTTAATAGATTCTCAAAGACCTGTCACTTACATTCTGAGCAATAGTTGTTGAAGACTTTTCAACTGGGCAAATCACCATATTTTCCCAAGTGGAGGCAACAATGAGGCATGGAACATATGTGTGGACACCCAGTTTACACCCTGTACATCCAGGCACATGAGTCTTAGGGCTATGCATACAAATTAGGTGTCATTACCAAGTGTCTTAAATTAGTGTTTTTCAGCTTTTTCAGTGATCAAAGTCAAACTAAACTATTTGAAAGACCCACAAGGAATAAAATGATTCCAATGATCTAGACATATCTAGTGAGTGAAGGATAACAAAAGGTACAAATTCAGAGATGTGAGGAGTAAGATAGCCCCTGTTAACTAACTTTAAGAGATACCTGAACTGGAAATCAGATGGACATATTTTTTTCTATATGTGCTGATCACTTGGTCTTATTCTTGAGGGTATTGATTTGTCTGTGATTCACTTACTTGAGAGCAATTAAACATATTTCCTTTCGGGAACATGAGGAAACAGTATATAGTATTAAAAAAAAAAAAACCAAAAAACTACAATGCCAACTACCAGCCTTTCAGAACAAAGAGCAGTGGAGACCCTCAACCAAAAGGGCCCATTGAGAACCACTGTAGGAAAACAGTAAATGATGTCAGATTTTCTTCTCAAGCACCACACAGGCCCTTGCCTTACCTGCTCTCTCTCAGGAAGACTCAAGTTTTATAATGGAGTAAGGAGAACAAACCCTGAGGCAATGAGTGTGGAAGAAACATTTAAAGCCAGCTAAGTGGCATACTATAAATATTTTGTGATTTCAGGGTTAGCAATGAAGTCTTTTCTAAAGAATCCAGTGAAGGCTGACCTTGGTACACAGGCGACGTCCTAATGGGACCACTTTTAGTAGAAAATGTAGGTGCATAGGGGGTCTCTTTTCTTTATTCACTACAGAAAATACCTCAAGTAAAACCTGAAACATGGGAATATATAAGCAAAGGATACCAAAGAATGTTCTCTGCTGGAGAAATTTGGGAACTTAATTTAGATCCATCTGGATTACTATATGAATTAAATGCATGGCTTAACAGCAGGCTCTATCATGCTAAATAAACAGGTGCTACATTTGGTCCACATGCTGAATTTTGGTCAAGTTGAGGAAGGGCAGAGTAGAAATCACAGGGACATGGTTGTTTTTCTACCCAAGTGCTTACTCTTCAATCTGAAGCAACACTTTACTCATTTGCAAATAGAAAATAAAACTGTCCTGTTTTCCATAAAACCAAGTGTTGCTATGAATATTAAGCATAAATACCATGTCTAGGGGCTCAGAGGCCTCTAACATCATGATACCACCAGTTTTTCCTCATGTTAAATCCCAGGTTGACCTTCAGTTACAATCCAAGCTGCTACAGAAATTACTTGAAATTTAAATAACCTGAGTATAGTCATAGACTACTACTGTATTAGTAATTGACCAAAAGATTCTCTTTACCTAAATTCCAAAGAATAAGATCAAGACCCTAAGTTCTTCCCAACATTCTTATATATCACTATTGGTCAAGTTGAGGAAGGGCATAGTAGAAAGCACAGCGACATGGTTGTTTGTTTACCCAAGTGCTTAGTGTGCAATCTGAAGCAGCACTTTACTCATTTGTAAATAGAAATGCCTCATTTACTCTGTGCTTCAAATCTCAGAATTTCTGGTACTAGAAGAAATGAGAAAGATGAGAAAAAATGAGCAGAAAGGTAGAATTTGTTATCTCCCTATGTATCGGCAGATGCCAAACCTAGGACTTATGCTGCAGCCCTTAACTTTTTAAATACCAGTTATTCTTAAACTTTCAGCAACAAACAAATACAATACTCATCATCTTGGATTTAATAGAAGCATAGATGAGAAACTATTAAGCAAAAAATCAGCATGCAACACAATATCAAGTCACAAAATACACATGTGTATATGTATTTCTACTCTATGTGTATATTGGATGTTTGTATGTGTGTACATATACGTAAAATCTTGATCAAGTCACAATATGTGTATATATGTCTATATGTGTGCATATACATATATAAAATCTCAAATGACAAAATAGAAGTATAGTTATTTTTATGTATGTGGGTAGATATGTATATATAGATAAATACAAATTGAGTCACAAAATGTACGTGAATACATGTCTGTGTGTGCATACATGTCTTGTTTATGTGTGTGTGTGTGTGTATATATATATATATATATATATATATATATATATATATTTCAATATGAGTATTAATGATGAAGACTTTAAGGACAAGATTGCAGACTTGATTATGGATTGAATGTGAGGAGAGAGGAAAAGTAGTCAGGGATAATGCCCTGGCTTTTTCCTGAACAACTGGGCAAATGGTGGTACTATATACTGCCCAGGAGGAAGGAAAGGGGAGAGCAAAGTGGTGGTTGGTGGCCCCTGCTTGAGATATGTAAAGCATTATTGACTCAGCAGGAGCCCTGGAATAGGCGGTTGAGAAAAAAACTGCAATTCAAGGAAGAGATCCAGCTGGAGCTACACATCTGGACATCAGAAATACATAACTTAAAATGTTATGTGTGGGTCTGAGTGAAATTCATCAGCTAAGTACAGAAGGAAAAAAGTCCCAGGCCTCCCAGGGTTTGAGAGTATAAGAAGGTAAGAAGGATTTTATATAAAAATGAGAAGGAGAGAGTCATGAGCAGGAAGGGGACAAAGCTGTGTACCAGCCTATGCAACTGTCCATAATTCTCTTGCTAAAACACACAGTTCTCTCTGTCCTGTCCTCTCCGATCTACTGTTGGTTATTACAGATGGACTGTGTCTGTGCTCTGTGTTGAATTTAGCAGGGCCCTTTAAATAAAAGATGTTATTTAAAGCCCCTGGAGGTGTTGAAGTCCCATTCCATAAACTTGAGCAGTGTATTGAGTCAGGGGGTGGTGCTGGCTGGGTTTCCATGCATTTAAGCTTATGTGATTGCTTATGTCCTGAGTGGTGACTGCCTATGTGCTGAGTGGTACAAAATCTAAAAGATTTTTAAAAAGTTTTCCCATGTTTTTAAGACTGTTTAAGACTGTGTGTGTATGTATAAACATGTATGTGTGAGCATATGGTACATAATTAAAATTACAACTCAGTCCTGATTCTAGTAACAACAGACAATACCGGGTCTGAAACAATGTATCAACTCTTATAATAGAGCTCACTAAATAAGGAAAATAACAAAGTTAAATATCTAATATAAATAAGCATAAATAATATAGGCTTGTTTTCATCCCAAATTGTATTTTTTATACAAATCTCTGGAACTCAGGAGTTCTCAAATCAAGCTATCTCAATTTCAACCTACCACAAATCACTGCAGTCTCATCATGTTATGTAGCAAGGATCCTCAGAACATTGACTTTTCTTCCCCTGGAAATAGCAATAGAAGTTGTTCTAATTATTCCTCTCTATTTTTCTAACATGGGTCTTCAAGTGGTGTCTCATTATATTCTCTTCTTTGAAAGAATGAGTAAACTTGGCAAAACCCTTGTTAGTAATTGAAATAAAATTATGCTGGCAGATATAAATGTCTATCAAAATTATGAGGGGATAGAGAGAAGGATGTCAATGATCATCACTTCTAAATTATGTGATACAGATAAAATTATTGGTCCTCTAATTTAGACATAATCACTTAAGCTGAGAATTTGGATAATTAAGTATTCTATTCATTTGTCCAAAAGTCAGAAAATTCTCCAATAATTTCATGTTCAGAAGAAAGAAAAGCAAATATCTCTACTATTTTAATACTATCTTTTGATGCTACTTTCATTATAAGTGTTTGATTCCAATGTTTCCAATCTTAGATGTTTCTATATAAGAACTATTTTCTATATAGAATCATTTTCTCTCCCTGATCCATACATTAGTGTGTGTTTTGCATTTGCCAAGCACATTAATTTACAGACTGTTAAGAACCACTTCCCACTGCAAAGGCAGAGCCAAGTGTTTATGGGAAAGACCTTACTGTCCACAGATCCCATGACATTTGCTATCTGGTTGCTGTGGGCTGATGTTTGTCTCTCCCTGGTATTGGTATGTTGAAATCACAACCCACAGTGATGACATTAGAAATCAGGGCCTTCTGGGAGGCAACTAGGTGATGAGGGCAGATCCCTCATAAATAAAATTAGTGCCTTAGGAAGCTAACCCTAATACTTACATCATGGAGGATGAGCTTTCTATAAAAACAGGAAGCCCTGCCAGACACCAAATCTACTGTATCTGATCCCTGACTTCTCACCCTAAAGAACATAAAGTAATAACGTTCTGTTGTTTATAAACTACCTAGTTGATGGTACTTTGTCATAGCAGCCCAGACAAAGACTTTGGCCATTTACTGCAAAAGTGAACCAATTCCTCCTATATATTCAATCATTAGAAACAAAAGACCAACAATAACAAATTATCTTGTAAATAAATACTCATGAAGGTCCACAGCATACATAAAACATGATATCAAGAGAGATATAAGACTGGATTTCAAAAATTAACATGTCACAGAATCTGGAATGGTAACATGACAATAAAACCCTGACTTTTCTTGTATGTGACTTAGTCTAATAGAAGGACTTCAGGATTTTGGCTTGAATATTAAACCTCTTTGTACAATTTAGCCTGGTCAGATCCAACAAATAGACATTTAGCTTAATTGTACTTTGTAATTATACTAGTTCTGACCAAAAAATATTAGAAAAAAACTTTTATTTTCAACTAATAAAATAAGTTGTAAATATGCTGTTTTATTAAAATGAAAAATCTCTGAAACAAACTGGAAACACCACAGGACTCATTTTCAAAACAAACAAGAATATACCGTTATGTCCAATTTAAGTTATGTTAATGTGTGCTTTGAGCCCTTGGTTGAGAAATAAAGATGACAGCAACACTCAACTAAAGATGATTTAACCACTAGATAGAAATATATTGAATAAGAAATAGCAATGTTTCATAAAGCTTATTGTTATATTCTCAAATAAATATTTAAAAGCTTGGGTAATTTTAATAGTATTACGGTAATGAAATAATTATGAATGTGCTACAGATTGTTAAAAAAACAGCAAACAAAAAAACTAATAAGACAAAATAATTGGATTTTCCATGTGATACTAAATTATTTTATTGAATTTTTAATAACATGTAACTACATAATATATGTTCTTTTAAGAGTAGATATACCTTATTGATTGCTGTTAGAGTCTGTAAACAAGTCAGGATGGCGCCTGGCATTTTGCCAGAGAAATGTTAGAGTCTGTAAACAAGTCTGGATGGCGCCTGGCAAAATGCCAGAGGGAGTGGTTTGTGAAGTAACAACAGCAAGCCATTAAGTGTGGAGATTCCTTATTGGTTGACTGATGTATCTAGTTTATGCTAATTAGATAAGCTGTGTGGAATGTATAAATACCGCTCCTGTCCTGCAATAAACGGCTCCCACTCCTGCTGTATCAATCTACACAAGTTGTTCGTCACCCCCCAGTTATTTTGCTGCAGCCGTACTCCGGCAGATTGCAACTTATATTTTTATAAAATACTAATTTCAATCACAAGCTAATACATAAAAATGTCAGTGCTGGTTATTGCTGGATCAGTATACTTCTCTTTTGGAATTTCAAAGTTCTATGAAATGAGTATGAATAATGCTGACAGAAGCTCCTCCTCATGGTATTAACATCTTCAGAGAGAAAAGCATGCATGTGAAGGAAGTCAAGGGGAGCAGAAATCATGGTCAGGCTGGCTCAAGAGGGCAACTGACCAAGGAAATTGTTGTTTTCTGCATTTCCCCTGTATTTAGCAATTGTGAGGCTATGAGAGTCTCAGTTAATTGTTAAGGCACATGAGACCCTGTGGGCTCATGAATTTGAAAGGTTCAATAAAGATACATAACTGTTGTTTTATCCACTCATTTAAATTAAACCACAACACGTAATAAATCTTATAGTGCATCCAAGCTTGCTTCTTCTCAAGGATGGGCATAGCAATCTGGGGAAAATTCAAACATAGGAATGGCAGAAACTTGGTCTGAGCTGAATGGAAGCCAAGTTTTCTCCCTCTATGCAAAGAGGGTTCTGTTTACCCAGAACAATCAATAGGAGCAGGATAAGGAAGCAATGTGTAGCATAATTACAACATATTTTTTAAATGTTTGCTGTGAATTTTGAATGTCACAGTTTGAAGTACCATCAGCAATAGTATATTTTTGTTTGTAATTGTAATGCACATCAATTTGAAGTCAAGAAACTTGAATTTCAATAAAAGATCAACCTAAGTTGTTAACATTTTCAACAAATAATCAGAGAAAGAGAAAAGTACAAGAAACAATGTGCATTTTGCTTGATTTCTGTAACACAGACCAATTCATGAAGCACATAAGTTCAATCCCAGCTCCAGGACATACTTGGATCTTGAAAGAGTAATCTGTAAGATGCATGGCCTCGTGTGCTTCATCTGTAAAGTGGAAATAATAACAGAATCCAACTAATAGCAACACTGTGGGAACTCAGTGGTGTAATCCTTACCCAAAATGCTTAGGACTAGAAGTATTTCCTATTTGGAAATATTTGCATATACATTATGAGCTGTCTTTGAGATGAGACCAAAGTATAGACATGAAATTGATTTGTATTTCACATATACTTTATACACACAGCCTGAAGGTAATTCCATATGATATTTCAAATAATTTTGCACAAGCAACTAAAGTCTGCCCCACAAGTGAGTGTGAGAGGTGTTGTTCCCCTCAGGGATGCTAGCTAAGGTGTGTCCTATGCCTGTGTTCTGACTGCTTTGTCATATGAAGTTAGGTGTCCTGCCTTCCACTTGTGGTGCTATATTGGTGCTTGTGAGAATTTGGATTTGGAGCATTTCAGATTCCTGACTTTTGGATTAGGGATTCTCCAATTACACAACATTCTCAGCATAGTACATAAATCCATTTAAGATTTCCTTCGCTGTGCAATGAAAACATAGGCAGTTACTAAAATGTGCAAAACTTTAATGACTGCAAGTCTTCCTCTGAAGGGCAAAATCCACAAAAAGGCTGGCAGATGGAAAACATGGTCTGAAGCCCCTTAAATGAATTTTAAAAGCCATGTGCATGTGAGCATCATTAAGATGAACTGTCCAGAGCAAAGACAATGCAGATTGATCAGTTCTTCAAAAGGATACTCTGATGCACCTCGACCAGGCCACAGACACTTCACATGAAGCACGACTAAAAGGCAAGTGACCCAGTGCAGTTACCTGATGAAGGGTCATGGTAGGATTCATTAATAACCAGAGTAGCAGCAGTCAACCCAGCCAAGCCACACAGTGGCAATAAACAGCCATCAGTCAGCAGCGTCATCTCTATTCCTAACAAGAAAACACCACCTCAGCCTCCCACAGGACTAAAAACAGGCCAGGAGGAATGTGAAATCACCATCTGTGATCTTGTTTTCTAATCAGCAGTGTTCCCAAGTGAGACTCCCTGGATCCCATGTCTTGTCCTGAGACAAGACTTCCTCTTTATTCCTCGGGCTCACCAAGACTGTATGAATGTCCCACTGAAGGGCTGTGCAAGAAGAAATAAAATCAGCAACAAGTGGTGAACCTGAGCAGGCTACAGGTAACCTGGATCCAGCACAACCCTGGTGAATGGAAGGGAGCAGGACAGAAATGTGGATTCCAGGAATTGTCCCCCCAACACAAAGATACACACACACACAAAAAAAAAAAAAAAAAAAAAAAAACTCTAGGAAACAAAAGCTCCCCTGGATTAGGGCCTGGCAGGACAAGGTGGCTGCATCCTGGAGAGAGAATAGGACAACGAGACAGCTGGAAACAGCTAAGGTGGACTTGTCCCCATAGGCTGGCCACTGCTGACCTTCTACAAAATCTGCAGTGTAGTAGTAGCCTAGGATGCAGTGCAGGGTAGAATAGTGTCAAGACAGCACAAGAAGAAATAGGAGCCAGGGGACCACCTGCCCTCAGACATTCCCTGGTCCACACCTGCTTATCAAACCCTGAGAAGCTCGTTGATACAAAATCACCAGTCTGCCTCAGTCAGATCAGGCTCCTCTCTGAGCTACCAGTTTCTGCCATACTGGCAGATCTGGAGGGTTCTGCACTATAGTGTCCATGGGTTCTCAGACCTGGCCTCATGCCCTTCCTCAGTAGGACCTATCAGCAGCTAACACTTCAGGACAATGCAAGCTCCCTGGCCACACAAGGTAAACCTGTCAGCACAATTACCATCAAAGAATCACAGAAAGTACCAATGAGGCAGAATTTAAAACAAGCCAAAAATGTGAAAGGATGTGGTAAGAGTATACGGAAAATTAAATACCTTCTCTAAAACTGAAATACTATTTATTAACAAAACATGTTACGGAAGTGAAAGGTCTTGTAAATCATTAACTAACCCAAGGAGCCACCATCCAGAAACCAGGCCATCCAGGACTGTCTCTGTCTCTAAAATTTGAAAGGACATGAGCAACTTCTGGTGTCTATTATTTGACATGAGAAATATGCTTGAGAAGGTACCCAGGGAAAATGACTACAAAATTACCCAATGATATATCATAAAGGATTAAAATATTTTTCCAATGTGGAAATAGCTCAAAACTTTTTGGAATGAACATTTCCTAGAACTGTAATTTGTTATCTCATCATACCCAGGCTTTGAGAAAAGCATTCTGACAAGAAGAAAAGATTTCAAATAACAAAGGAACTGAATGTTTTTCCATTTTTCTACTAAAAACATCTGTGTCGCTTGGAATTTACTTTTGGGGACCATCCCCCATTTCACATTGCTGGAAAAATACAGCAAGATACAGGAAGCCCTCCAAATTGAGACTATTTTCTCACTTCTTTTCTTTCCAGCTACAACTTACTGCTTGCGGGAGAAAGGAAACAGGAGCATGGCTGCTTGCACATTTTTCCAGCCTCACTTAAAGATGCTTAATTTTTGACAATTGACTAACCACTAAATGAGTAAATTTTAATTATTTATTTTATTTCAAATGTTTAGAATGGATATATCTTAAAACGAAAGCAAAATTTCCCTGCCTTGACAAGTGATCTGTGAACATAAAACATCACTCGCATGTCTGGATGTGAATGACTTAGGATCATTATATAAAACAACAATGACCATGATGTGATACAGGTGAGCTGTGGGTGCTGTGGATGATGATGGTGTGGAGTCCTACAGCTAAATAGGTACTCACCTTAACAGCCATCATGAAAGATTTTCTTTAGAAAGCCTCCAAAATCATGATGATTCTGATTTAGTTTTTCTCCTTGGTTCAAGGGCATGGGTCTCTCAGGTTCAGCACAGCTGACTTTCCAGGAAATCCAAAGCTCATACTGTCTTTTTGAGGGCCATCTCCTGGCTTACTGTCTCTTTCTCTGTTATCAGGGTGCTGCCTCAATTGCTGATGTCACTCAAGTCAGCTTGCTGTGCTTTCTTCACCAGAAACAGTGGAACTCAAACCATAACCCATGAACATACCTCTTTCCAACTCAGTAGCTTACACCAAACTGGAGGTCAAGGAAAAGGCACTCCTAGGACACAAGGTTCTGGGACAGATTATTATACACTTTTTGTCTTTGGAAAATGAGGAGCTTAAATTCTGTAAGAAAAGGTTGTGACAACTTCAGTTTGGGATAACCTAACCTATTTACAGGTACTTCAATCATACTGTGTAAGAGCAGAAAGCTTTCGTGTCTGGCTGCTCCAAAGACTCTGCTTACACCAAGAGAGTATCTTTAAGTGTAAGTGTGGCTAGAAAAGTGTGCATACAGGCCTGCTCCTGCTTCCTTCCTGGGCCAAACAGTAAGTTATAGCTGGAAAGAAAAAGAAGTCAGAAAATAGAGTCTCAATTAGGAGGGCTTCCTGTATTTTGCTATATTCCACCTGCATTGTAAAATGTGTGTGTGTGGGAAATACCCCAAAAGTAAACCCCAAATGACACAGAACATTTTTAATAGAAAAATGGGAAAACATTCAGTTCCTTTGTTTAGTTAAGCTTACACTTTATTAAATGTTGGGAGGAATTCACAGGCTTCCCCCTGGAAAATCCACTTGCAGCACTGCAAAGCTGTGTGGGAAATAGACTGCACAAGAAATAAGATCTAATGCAGAGAGAAAGAGAGAGAGAGAGAGAGAGAGAGAGAGAGAGAGAGAGAGAGAGAGAGAGAGAGAGAGAGAAAGAGAGCTCATGTATAATGGCACAATTTGTCGTGAACATACTTTATATACAGAGTTATGAATATTGTGCTATGAATGGATAATTATGAATGTAATGCATTCCACTATTATCATGAATGTAATAAATAAATTTTAAAAAAAGAAACAAGAGGTGCCAAGAGTCTGCCTCTCCTGACTAGCTGACACCCTCATCAGCTCTTGCTTGATCTCAATTAGCATTTGAAAGGCTGGGAACCCTCCAGAAAAGCCTGGCCTTCAGAAATGCATCAACTCTGTCAACCATACTTCCTCAGACCAATCTGTGTCTTTTCAACTAACTTTAGTCATAGTCACACATGAAGACTGGGACAATAAATAATTTATTTTTCATTCCCCCAAGGGGTTGTTCTTTATAAACTGATCAGATACTCTACCACAGCTTTATGTGCTAGAGACCCTGATCAACTGTTGATGTTGCAGAATCTGACTCAAAAAGTAAAGTGCTGTTCAGCTGCCTTTTCTGAGCCAAGCCATCACATGAGAGAAAGAGGAGCTGGCTGGGAGTCACCATGGCAGGATTCAGTGTCAATCGTCATCTGCCCACCTAGGGCATGCCACCTCCCTTCCAACTACCAAATCCTGGACTTCTTTGCTTCAAGATTTGCTCTAATCACAGTAAATCTGGGGGCCCTGGAACAGTCACCCTCTGGGAGTAGCACAACTTAATACCCCAGCCCATTGAGTGGGAAGACTAAGGCACATGATTTCTTCTTTCCCTGGTGAAAAGAAGCTCCCATCACACACTACGGTGACTCACTCCTTAACACAGTCTCTTAGGCCCTTTGCCTATCTCATGTTCTCATGTCCCAAAAACCTTGCCCTTGAACCTTATTTCAAGGTCAACTTCCAATGGGACTCAAGCCATGGAAAACTGGAACTTTTTCCAGTTAGACAAGAGGAATTAGGTATGTGAGATCTATTGTACAATATGATGAATACAATATGGTAATAATAGGATATATTTCAAAATCTCAGAGTAAGTTTCAAAGGTTATCACCACAAGAAAAAGTATTTGAGATTATGGATATATTTATTAGCTTGAATGAATACTTTCTCTTGTGCATATGTATTATCATTTTTTATCCCATAAATATATGGAATTATAATTTCTCCATTTGCAATAAAATTTTTTAAAACGTCCCTTGGTGACTCCATTGTGTCTCCCTATAGTTTCCACTGCCACTTCTGCTATAAATGATTTCATTACACCCCCCTTTTTTCCTTAGGTCTTCACTTTGGGGCTTCTGATCATTTCTCACAAGTGGTATTTATATAAGCAAATATAATTTAGGCATTTAAGAATGCACCAAGAAGATCATGGAAAACAAGATCAAGAGAAGGCCATGAGGGTTACTTAGAAACTTGAGTTTGTGTGATAACATAGAAAAAGAAAGCTGAACCAGAACACAAGAGAATACCGTATCAGTATAATTGTACATACTTTTATCTCCATTCATAGTGTCATACTCAACAACAAAAAAAATGTCACAGGACAGTTGAGATCAAGGAAAGTGGCACCAGATTGTCAGGACCCAAGGGCTGGCTATCTTTGTCCAGTTATTAAATTTCCCTGAGCCTCATCTGTAGTTTCCTCATCACAGATCTGGGGGAAATAATGGCACCTACCCATAAGGTCATCATGAGAATTAAATAATTAGTATTTATAAGGCACATAAAACACTACCTGGCACATAGTGCTGATTAATGAAGAAATCTGGACCTCAATAATTTCAATTAGATTCTCACAAAGTTGCTTGTAGTAGACACAATATATCCTAAGAATAATTCTGCAAACATGGTGTTTAGCATAGTGTTTTTAGAAGGAGAAGGAACATCTAGATCTCTGACAAACACCAGAAGGGGCGGTAAAGTCCACAGCACACTGGTGCCATCATGACCCCATTCCTTCCATTCTGTGACTCTCCCATCTACTGTGTGCAGCTTTTATGCATCTTTTTTGAAGGCAGAGCCAAGGAAGAAGCTGCTTGTCCTCAAGGAATGCTTTCTTTGTAAAGCAAAGACCAGAAAGGGACAGCCAGGCATCCCGAGTCCTATGTGACATTCAGATTTTGAGAATTGTGTTTTTCAGCTTCTAAAACTAAAAATTCTCAGAAGGAGCTAAATGAGACAATGGACACCTCCCTCACAGCTTAATGCCCTCTGGTTTCACGGCTAGGTTTGCAGTTTAACTTTCTAAGACTGACTGCCCGTGGTCCCAGATATCGACAGAAAACCAAGTTGGAAGAGACTTAGGAAAAACATTTCCATAGTCGGGACAAACTAAGCTGTGTGTGCCAAGCCACTGGCCCCACAGGGGAGGTTCTGGAGCACCTGCCACTCCCACAGCCTTCTCCATCTCCCAGGCTGGAGGCAGAAGCTCCCGCTTAGCTTTCTTCCCCTTGCATCTGCTTATTTCTATGAGCAACAGGAATGACAGGAACCAAGATCCATGAGATAGTGGGAAAATGACTGGAAGTACTTCCAAGGACTCTAGAAATTACTCAGGGTAATGTGAATGCTGAGAAGGTATTACTGCTTTGTAGAAATAGAGGTGAGGGGTCTGCCTACTGCCGTTTAAAGTTGGAGGTAATTATTAATTAGCAATGTCACCTGTCTTCAATTGTAGGTACAGAATGTACAGAATATAACAGTGGAGTGAAAGGGAGATGAATTAAAGGAAAAGGATGATAAAAAAAAAGATGGGTGGTAGGGATCATCAGACCTTCTAGGTGACCTCATTCCCTGGATCTCATAATTTTCTTTCCATGTGTCTCCATATCTCAGGTTTTGACATCCAATCCCCTAGACTAGAGAACCTAGTGAGTGCTCTGCCCCTTCCTGCTTCCAGTTCCCCTCCTAGCCAGCCTGGCAACATGGAAAAGTCCCCAATACACCAGAATAAAACTAGCCAATTAAAGATGCATGGATCAGGTTGCCAGTAATTACTTTCCCATTACACAGAGTGTTCATTAATATTTACTAAATTCCTCTTAATTGAAATGTTGTGCTATGTAATTTGGGAAACTATCCAAATAATTCTCTCCACAAAACTATCAAAATAATTTTTTGATCAAAAGTGGAAAAAAGAATCCCCTCCCCATCTTTCTGCTTCTCAAGTCCTTTAGAGTCACGGGAAAGAATGAGAACTCCAGCTCTGCAGTGGCTTTCTGGACTCATAACACGACTTCTTTTAAAAGTGGAAATGGACAGGAAGGATACTGTTCAATTGGTATTCAGAAATGATTAAAAATAATACTAATGATCCAACCAACAAATTAGAATCTTTACCAATTAAAAGAAGAAAACATAGAATATCAGTTTGTCTTCCAAGGGCATAGAGCAACAGAAAACAGGAAAAATACCTCTCATTAAGAAGAGAACGGGAAAACATACTAGTGGAAGCTTCTAGTCTTTCCAGTCTGTTGATCAGCCAGTCAAAGGAACCAGAAAATTGAGCTGTTTTTACAATTTTCTGTAATTAGAGCCGCTGCAAAAGAAGATGATTTCACATTGATACAAGTTTCCAGTTCAAACAGCAAGGTAAGCTAATCAAAATCTTCAAACTGACTATCTTCATGTTTCATTTGCAAATGCACACACACGGAGAAAACTGACAGGAAAAATGACTTGATATTTATTAATGGGACTGAAAAAAAAAAACAAAAAAACTTCTACTCATTAAAGGGAATAAATTCCAGAGAGCAGCATCCCACATAGGGAAGTAATAATGAGGGGATTGAAAACCAGCAGCCTAGGAGCTTCCTCAATTGGGTTCTGATATCCACTGCTTTTATTAGCAATGAGGTAAATTATTTCATTTCTCTAGAGTAATAGGAACACTTTAGGTCTCCTGAACATGCAGCATAAAACACCAGGAGATGTAACAGCAAGTATACAGAAGAAAGTAACTGAATGTCACATGGAACACTGGGTGGGAGGGCAATGGCTAGGAAGTTTGGAAACCATGTTGGTTTTTTTCCTACATCTCTCCTTCCCACTTTGGAGAGTCACAAGGCATTCTAAAGACTCAGATAACTTGAAATTATCTATTCTAACTTTGCTTGATCTAGCATTTTCTACAATCCTTCACCAAAGAACCCTTCTTGTATGAAATTCCTACATGACTTTTGTCTCTTTCAACGTAGTATTTATACTTAACTTAAAATTTTAAAGTAAAAATTAAGCTGATTCAATTATCCCAAAGCAAGCCCAGTAATTTTTTTTAAATAAATTCTGCCCTTATACCCTTAAGATGGGTCAGAAACAGCACAAGTGCTTACTGAGGGTTGGTGAGATTTTTAACAAATGTAATATTTAAAAGGAGGAAGACTTGCCCATAAGGAAAATTACTATTAACCATCTGGCAGCTCTGGGGAGCTAAGAGCTGGAATCTGAGGCTACTGCCTACCTGTCACCTTCAAATCAAGAGCAGGAGGCACCATGCTTAGACTGTGTGGCCAGACTTAAATATGTCCCTTGAAATTCCTCTTCCCAAAGACAAAAGACAAATAAAAGTTGTTGTCTCGTCTAGAGTAAGAAGCAAGATTACAGAATAAGACAGAAAGCCTTTTCTTCTCCCCAACTCATATATAGTATCAATGGGTGTAAATTTAAAAGTAGCTCTCATCTTATTTCATTATCTAACTTTATATAATGAAAATATATTAATTTGGGGAGAGGGGTAATGGTGATTAAATCCAGGGGTATTTTTAACACAGGGCTACATCTCCAGCCCTTTATATCTTTTTTTATTTTTGAGACAGGGTCTTGGTAAGTTGCTGAGGCTGACCTTAGCTTGCAATCCTTCTAGCCTCCTAAGTCATTGAGATTATAAGAATGCACCACTGTGCCCAGTGAGATGTTTTAATTTTGTAATCAAAAAATACAATAAAACTATTCTTTTTTCAAAACAGAGAGAAAACACATTCAAAGTGGCATGGCAATCACCATCAGATGTCTCAGAGTGCTCCTCTCACCTCCAAAGTACGATGGTAACTTTAAAACATGCATCAAAAGGGTAGACAAAGGCCCTTTTCTAAATGAAGAACAAGCTTATGATACCTTAAACTGATCTTTTATTTCTGGCTAGGTGGCCTTGAAGACTAAGACTTCTCTTCCTCTTTCATCACTTTTTTCCTTATTTATTTCAGAAATACTGATGGGAATGCATCAGGCCCTATATTTGGCACAACAAATACAAACCTGATCAAACCACAACTCTAACACAGTGGCTTGTAGGTCATTATCTACAACATTTTGAATCCCTTTACATCTGATACTATACTGTTGCATGTTATACAAAACATAGAAGATATGTGATTTCTCAACATGACTGCTTTCAGTCTTCTATGGAATAAGAATATAGAGGTGTTAAAGAACTATGTTAAATACAATAACATAATAAATCTCTTATGAAATGCTAGTTTGCTGAAATAATTTTATTCATGCTGAATAACTAACTAATACCTAAACATTTATTAAGTGAGAATGTGAAATGCAGGCAATATTGGTAATTAGTCAAAAATTATTATTGTAAAAAAGTACTTTTTATTATGGATGGTCCACATTGTAAAATGGTGCAAAAGTAATACATAGTTCAGTAGAAAACTCACTTCACATTTTCAATTTTGATCACTTCCTGGGCTAAGGAGAGAGAATTCTATGCTCTCTAGGGATAGGGATAGGGATACTGGGTAGTGACAGAGAGTGGCAGATCCCAGTTAGACATATGGTCATCAGAATTTACAATCCTCTACAATGTACTCTGTTGCTAGCATAGAGAGGATCCACATATTCAATAAATTAAATGAGGCATCCATGGGCCTTTCTCCTGTTCCTTACCTTGGACCCAGAGCAAGGTATCTGCCATCTGTGAACTGAGATCTCTGAAATTGTGAGTCCCAAATAAGTTTTCCCTCCTCTAAGTTGATCTTGTGAAGAATTTTGGTCATAGCAATGTAAAAGCTGCCTAAAACACTGCAGAGATTGGTCTCTTCTGTCATTAAAAAAGCAGCCATCAGTCCTGTTTGTTTCATACTTGAATTGTGTAAAATGAGTATTTACAGAGAGTCCATCAAAGTCATTTTCAGACATCTTTAGAAAATCATGCCTCCTTGCCAGCATCTCACAGATTAATTTTGTGAACATCAGAAAAAATGTATGATAGAGAACCACAGCCACACTATACAAACTGTGAGTATCTGTGTCTATGGCATCTGAGGTCTCCTACACAGCAGCTCATAAATCTAATTTTTTCATTGTCCACCTGAAACACATATTATATATCCAGGTCAAATTCCAAATTGTTATAGACCATTGTTCTCACCTTCCCCTTCTCTTTGCAGACTGAAAACAAGAGAAAAGCAAAAGAAGGTGGTAGCTTATTTCACACACAAACCATGAAGCTAGCATCTACCTATTTGGAGGAATGAGGCTGGGGGTGCTTCATGAATTTACAGTTGATATTTGAACCATATGTTTTGGTAGCTGAATAAAGGACAGTGAAATGCAAATAGCTTATAGAAATCCAATCATTGTGCAGACCTGAGACTCTCCCAGCCAGACTGAGTTATAAATGTGCATCAATGCATATGGCCCTTGAGCATGCAACCAGCCGGGTTAAAGGGGAAAGGATGACACAGCCCTTTTGAAATAATATCTCAGAACCATGTATTCCAGATGATTTTCTCAGGAACAGGGGACCAGTTTTAAATATTGGATTTTGGTGTTAATTTTTCCACAATCCTTCTTTCTGCCACAATCATATTCCTCCCTTTTTGAAAGAGAATATTTATTCTGTGCCACTGTATATTGGACTTAGGAAACTTGTTTTTTTATTTTACCAGTGCTCATGGTCAAGATCTTGCCTTGAGTCTCAGAGGCAACTTTGGACTTGAAGAGGACTATTTGGGCAGTGCTGGATCTGCTAAGAGTATGGAACTCTTGTAAAGGGACTAATGGCTTTTTATACTATTATAAAATATAAATATATTTATACTTTTTATACTATTATTATATTTATAGCCATTAGGGACTAGGGGCAGAATATTATGGTTTGGATATGAGGTGTCCCTTAGAAGTTCAAGCTAATGCAATAATATTCAGAGGAAAATAAGTAGATTATGAGATCTATAACCTAATCAATCCAACTGAGTTGTCACTGTAGGCAAGTGGGACAGGGCTGGAGGTGGTGGGTTGCTAAAGCTGTGTCCTGAAATTGCTATTCTTCCTGCAGTTCCTTCCTTTCTGTTCAGCTTCTTAACCCATCATCATTAGAGCACATCTCCTACCCTGGGCCCTGTCCTCATGATGTGCTGCCTCAACGTGAACCCAGAACAGAGAAGTTGGCATTCCATATCCTGAGACCTATGAAAATTGGATCCCTAAATAAACTTTACTGCCACTAAGTTGTTCTTATCATGTATTTTGGTCACAGTGATGCAAAAACTGACTGAAAATAAAGGCCTAGGTCCTTTGGTTTTCTATATCCCTTAACTCTTTCCACACATATAGCAACAGGTTCCTCTGTTGCCATGGTAGCAAACAGTCTCAGAACACAGACTTCTAACAGTTGGATGTTTAAGCCACTGGGAAGAAGGATCTGAAGGACTTCGACTTATGCCACTGGATTTGGCAGCATCACTTTGTGGGGGCAGCAATCAGAGCTCAGCGTGACTGATTTTCAATGTGAGTGTGTGTGTGTGTGTGTAAGAGAGAAAGAGAGAGGATAGAGGAAAAAAAAGAGATATTCTGCTCGTAATTTGCCACACATGCTGTGGCATAAATGAAAATGCTGGAATAAAGATGCCATCATATGATGGGAGAACGGACACTTAAACAGCTCTACTTTCTAGAGAAAGAAATTTAGTAGTAACAAAATGTCTTAATAAGACATTAACATATTTGTGAGCTTTGGACCACTGATCCAAAAAATAGGAATGTAAAGAGAGAGAGAGAGTCAAGACATTGATTGATAAAGAGGTATTGACTAATATTAATAATAAGAAAATTATTAAAGGTCTTAGTAATCTAAGGATCAGTGAATACAAAACTAAATGCTCATTAATAAGTGACCACTGATATAGCATTAATAAGAATAGGATTAAGAATGACACAATGGGAACTGGGGATGTGGCTCAGTGGTATCTCACTTGCCTTGCATGTGTGAGGCACTGGGTTCAATTTTTAGCACCACATATAAATAAATAAAATAAATAAAGGTTTACCAACAACTAAAAAAATATTAAGAAAAAATGCACAATGGTTATATGTGTGTTTCCTGCTGGCTGTGCTGTCATATATAATAATCTCTCTACTGATGTGACTCCACATGTATATGAATGTGTGTATATATGTACAATGTATGTTAATACAATTATGTGTGTATGAAGAAAAAGGAAAGATTATGAGGAAATCCACCAGATTCTTTTACAAATATCACATATTTCCTCTGGATCATGGCATGAGAGTGGCATTTATTTTCAACTT